GAAGCAAAAAGAACAAAGAGTCGGAAAGACTCCACTCAGAGAAGTGTCACGTGTGGCCCAGCACAAGGGTCCAAGTGCCCACCAATAAGATGTGTCGCCCGTTTCAGTCGCCTTACTAGCCCCAGAGCTTCGTCGAAAATCGTGGGGCGGGTCGGCTTGACGGACACGATCAATCGCACCTTTCTCTTCTTTAGCTACTGCTCGCTTCAAGGGACCCGTCGCCCCCGCTGCCAAAGACGGTCTCTGAGAAAAGCGTCTTCGAAACCGGCTAGCATGGAATAACTGAAGGTCGGAGAAACCCTGCTTCACGTGTGCAAGTGGGACCTTGATTTCTAGTCAGTATGCAAACAGCTCCCGAACCTGCACGTTAGGCGAGAAGACGTCCAAGTAGGGCCAGCCACGCAAAGGTTGAATGGTTGAGTGACGAACGGTTTTGTGGAAGTTGCAGGCGCTTCTCGTAGGGTCAGACGGCATCAGGCACCGAGGATAACCAAGTTCGCCAGTGGACACCTTTGCGCCCAGATTTGACAATCATGGCCGCTCACGTCAAGGTTTCAAAGCATCGTGCGAGCAAAGTGTTTGAGTAAAACGGAGAGTTTATCTCAAAAGCAGGTGGGGTCGATCGACTGAAAGAGAACTTGCTGCAAGAATCGAGTGCGTCATCTTTCTGATAGTCATAGGGCGGATATGAACGCATGAAGCCAACACAATGGATTTGAACACCTTATAATTATTACATTTCTAAGAATGGCTAGCACTGCCGCGTCCTTACAAACAAGATGGTAGAATATTTTGGGTCGGTTATAGCCCGGAAGGAGCAGAGATTATGTTGAGTTGATGAACCGTTTGGAAATGAGGTGGCGTAAAAACCCCACAAGTTTCTCTCGGTTGAGAAGAGGAAGAAGTCAACGTGGAGTGTTGACAGTGCACAGGATGTTAGACGAGTCCGGCGTACAAAGAGCTCCGGTAACCTTTCGCACTTTGAGCAACTCCTTCGAGTGCAAACACTTTCGTGGCGCTGTAACCAATGATGCTTGTTTACGTCCTAAAACATCTCAGTCCGTGGGAAGCACGATGTGGTCAGATACAAACCTCGTTTGGACACAATGTGATGGGGGTTGCGGGCGAACCCATGCCAGTCAAAATGTCGTCATGCATGTACGAGAGAGAAAGAAGCTTTTGAAAGGCGTCAGGCTACAGCGTTTCCGTGGTTGAAGCAAGCCCTCCTGAGGGTCGACATATCACAGCCTCGTTTGAACAAGATAGAAAGTACCCCTTAAAAGAAGGGCAAGCATAACGCTAACCATGGTAAGGAAAAAAGGACAATATGCAACAGTATGGATCATCCAAATCTAAAGACCTCAGGGATCTGCCAGCACCGGCGTCACAATTTGGATCACCAAAGCGACTAATGGGTAAGACCTTGAAGTCGTAGAGAACCAGTTATCTCGTCCACAAACACTTCAGGCAAACAAAATCTTGTTGTTTACCAACACAGCCTTCACAACCGAGTGCTCCGCTGGTTGATTGCGAAATCAAACCTGCCATCGCTTTCACGGAGGCTAGTTGACCATCGAAGCAAATGCGATTAATCAGGCTGAAAAACTCCAAGTTCGAAGGTAATGAGCTTCAAAGATAAGGCAAGCCCATCGAGTCTGGCTCCGTTAATGTCAGCTTGGCTTTGCCCTTGCGAGAACAGCACATGATCAGTGCTGGTGCTCGATGATGTCTGGGTGGACCTTGTTGCCGAAAGGGCAGGTTCCAGAACTTGGATTTAAAACTTGTGCGTTTAATCTACCTGACCCACTCACGCAGACGGGAAATAAAGCGCATCCAGAAGTTGAAGTGAAGTTGGTAACACAAGAGGGCTTCGATGGCCGGCATCAGCGACTGCGGCACCTTCTCAATGAGGCTCAACAAGCCTCAACCTTCAAAGCTCACCTTCTGCGCATCACTGCCAGAACTGTGCTGGTTGTAGCCAATCAAGTCTGACGAACACAACTCTATAAACGGGACTCTCAACATGACTCTCAACATCAAAGGAGCAATGATTTCGCAATTTCTTCGAACTGCCTGGGAGGTGAGGAAGAAGATAAGCCTGGGTCGCTGGCATCCTAGTAAACAGCGTGTGGGAAACAATACCCAATTCTTGGGCGCACCTCATCAACGAGCCGGAACGCTGACAGCGGCGTAACCGGAGTTCCACCCTTTCTGATCAAACGCAGGCTCAGAAAGGATTGTTTACCCTCTACCAAGCGCTTATGCAGAACCAGAGACACTGAGGGCGACGATTTAAGAGAAGGCTGCCACTCCAAGTACTGGTACACTCTTAGTGGATGGTGTCCCAGTCTTCGAACCATAGAATCATAAGAGCATGAATTCACTGATCAAGCTGAAAAGATAGGAGATAAAACAAAGGCTCACAGACAAGCGGGCTCATGAATCTTGTTGACAAAGACAAGTCAACACCACTCTTGGTTCCATCATCTCGTCCAAATGCTTGTCCGCATTTGGACAAGCAGGCTTCTAGAAGCACCTCTTGCATCAAAATGCTTTACAGTTGAATGGGCTACCAATCGAAGCAGATGCTGAAAACGGCATCAAATTCCTAAAGAAACGTGGCTACGAAAGTCAGCATTCGAGGACATCAGGGACACTATTGATAACGTAGTAATACACAACTTTTGTCCGCTCAACACGTGCGGAAAGTTCCAGATGACTTGGCGCGAGTGACACTTCATTCCTTTCACAGCTCTGTAACCACCAAAACCCCTTGCACAAAATACGATCTGCATCTTTCACTGATTGGCACACACAGTGGCCACTTTATTCAAAGGGTTGTTCTACCCATTCATGCGATTCACAAAGCTCACGTGTACTCTGCAACCATCGCAGACTGTGCTGCGTACTGCAGTAACGTGCCTGCTACCTCCAACATGTGTACTGGGGCCAGCCGATCAGACGAGCATCGTCAAAGTAGTACGGGGATTCCCCTGCAAACAAGCAGACTTAAACTGTGAACAGCCAGACAAGTGTATGCAAAGGCCAGGAATTGGGGGGAAAATATGCTCACCAACGTGATCCTAAGACCAAGCAAATAATTCTAGTAGTAACGTCTCTGTCTCACAAGACTTGGGCAATGCAAACCTGATAGTCTAGCCCTCATCGAGAATGAAAGTCTGTTCTCAAGGGCTCTGCTTGGAATCGAAACAATCTACCTTTGAGGTGGCTTTGGAACCCAAGATAAGGACACTCTAATTTCCAAACTTTAGATAGTTACAGTGCCGTTTGTCTGCTCTCAGCTTGCCCAGTCCTGCAAAGTCTGCTTCCTCCCAATCTTCACTAGGCTCAATTTTCATAGGATCCAGGGGGTGTCGAGCCAAGAGGACATAGACTTCACATCAAAAGGAAATAAAACCTTACCCTGCTGATGAATACATGGTGGTTCACTCATTAGAGCACCCAAGTGTCACCGTTCTGCGCGAGCGAGCGCATTTGTCTGTGAGGCTTCTCATACCAGCATCTAGTGTCTCAAGCCAAAACTGGCACTAGCGCTGAGGCAAACAATGACTAGCATTAAAGCGGCAGTGAGTGTCCTCAGTGCATAGAAACCTTGTTGACTGAATGCCGCTTGCCTCGAGTGGGTTTTACATGAAGGAACAAGTCCACTCCGCTCGATGAAGAGGAAAATTCAGCATGCACGGCCTCATGATTTCTGGGTTCAAAAGTGAAACAAATGATGATCGAACATCAGATTAGTCCAGTGTCATTTCAACTTGGTTGAAGTATCGCAGCTTTCTTTCATTCCCTCAGTCTCTTCAAGTTTTTCGGCTTCACAGCCGTACATGCTCATAACGGCTTTTGGGATAGGGAATCTTGTCAGGACATGTGCATGGTGCAGGGCCTTACATGATGTGCATTTCTCGGTCAATTGCGAATGCTTTTGAATCAATCAACCTGCATCACACATAAGTGGCAGGAGGTGCAAGTAGCTTCATATCTACTCAAGGGCTGGTCTCTCACCTGTCACCACTTTACATCGTCAGAATGGCAGGCGTCAAGGTGCTCCGTCCGCCTATCGATTTTGAAGCGGCTTCAATCCCTGAGAGGTTCCATTCCGCCTGGAACTGAACCTCATTGCAATTGCCTTCCCCTCCATCTTTATTTCTCCATTTTAAGCCCATGCCAAGCCCTCCTTCGCATTCAATGCATCGAGACCCCCAAGGAGAGTCAAACCAGCCGGCACAAACTCTGCATTTGACAATCTGATGGTGCAGACTTGAGTCACATTGTACTGTGATCTCTTGGTACGCAAACCAAAGCAGACATGTTCGAAGAGGTGGCTCACGATTGATCACAACACAACAGATGTCCAAAGGATGTATGCTCTATTAAACCCAAGCTGTGGCTGTCAATCGCTAGTTTTCCAACAAGCAACCAGCAGCGGTCGCGATGTCGGCGCTTTCCCAAAAGGGCATAGCCTGGGGATTCTGACAAACACCATGTCTTCAGCCAAGGAAGGCACCTTCAGGATTCACTTGGGGGGCAGCCTGAATGCAAGCAAGACGCCATGATGATGCGCCATCAGGTTGACAACATTTGTGGCTGAAGTTCTGTGCAGTTCTGAGTTCTCTAACTCTAGAGCGAACCAAAGACAAGTGGTGGCTGACAGTTGTCACGATGCGACACGTGTCGCTTGTAGCTAGCAGCTTACATCGTACTTGCTGACATGGCACGTCTTCTGAGTTCTCGCTACCTACCGTAAATTCACCTGAAAATAATTATTTTGGGGTCAGTGTGAAAATTTTGAAACTATTTGGGATCCGAGGGTGAAATGGCGAAATGATAAATATTGGTAAAAGTAAGGTCAGACTGGTGAAATATAGGGCAAAATGGGCCAAAAACAACAAAATTCGCCTTTCGTGCGAAATGTTGGAAAATATCCAGCCCGCTGGGTGAAACCTAAAATTTTCCGAAATTAATTATTCGCACAAAAAGGTGGTGAATTCCCTTGGGCCTTGGCGCTACGGTATTGAATCAGTTCTAGCTCCTGAACCTGCCTGAACCTTGAATTTGAAAGCAGATCTCTCTAGCTCGTCTCTCCCAAGAAGGCCGCTTGCAGCCTCGTCTTTCTTGAATGTGGTGACATTCTCTCCGGCCCTGGTCTGCAATCTCAAGCTGATGCACATGTCGGGTGCATTGAGCCCCCGGGGGGCATGGTTTCGGGGTTTCGCCGGCCCTCCATCAAGCATCCCCTCCCCAAGGAAGCCGACGTCGTCCATCCGTGGAGTAAAGATAGCGTGCTCGGTCCTCGCACAGAATGCTGCGCTCCTGCTATTGTGCACTGCAGTAGACCATGTTCAGTTTTCCACACTCGGTGTGGCGGCAAAGAAAACTAGATGGGGGAGTTGGGGGAGTGATGGGGACAGGGACGGTTTTGGGGGTTTCAAATATGCTGCAGCCGCGGCGGGGGTTGCGGGAGCGGAGACGATTGCAGTAGTTCCGGAGGGGCTTCCAAGAGTTGCCGAGATACCTGCCCAGGAGGACGAAGCGTGAGCTTTCAGATCCTATGCCCCTTGTCGTGTGTCACGAGGTGCAAAGAGAGTCAACTGACTTTTGGCTCCGTTTGTCGACTATGCCCATTCGTTGCATGTCCGTCATTGCTTGAAAACTTTTTAACAGCATGGCCTTCTGTGTCAGGAATGTATCTCTTACAAAGACACTAAACAGGCACTTAAAGTTTCTTGTTGAGTTGAAGGTCTATGCATAGGCAGCTCTTAATGTCTTGTTTCGTCTCCTGTATCAGCTTCCTGTTACTTATGGTGCATTGGTCAATCAGTCTGTCTGGTTCTTGCACGTTCTTTGATAACGCTACTTGCCATCCTGCATTTTATTCAAGAACAAAGACGTGTGGATGTCGCTGTTGTAGGTTAGGGACCAGTCAATCATTGCAACATTTTGAGATAGAATATCCAAGTTGAAGCTTTCAAGCGCAACCTTACCTTCCAACTGTCCCCACCATGTCACACTTGAGAACCTGTCTAATCTCACATTTTAGGAGATTGAGAGGAATCAACCTTGACCAAGGGAAGGTACTACATAATTGCATCAAGGCTGGGATAAACTGACAGAGTTCTCATGTTGCCTCTGTTGATGATCCAGGTCGCCCGTGCCTGGTCTGGGTGTTGACTGGGAAGAACACAACTGGTTGCCGGGCTTCACCTCCGTGTCTGGGACGCGCCTGCATACGGTGCGGTACCTGCCTCCGAAGAACAAGGCTCCGAAAGGCTTCATATTCTTGTGGTAAGCTTTCTTCTGATGATTGTCTAGGTTATGTATCATTTCAGAAGTGCTGATCTGACCTGCAGCAAAGCCTGGTATCTGTTACTCGAAGTGCCCTGGTCCAACGTTTATGTTCAGAGACTTGATCAAGTTGTTAATCGCATGGCTTGTTGCCGATATCTCTTCAACTTCTTCTGTTGCAAGTGCAACAACCATCACCAGCGTCGACATTGCGGGATACACAAAACGTCACGCGCTATTGTACACTAGAAAGTTGCAAGGAAGGCATTTGAGCGAACAGGCGGGAAATTTGATTGAAGGCAGGAATCCAACAAACTTCTAACCAGAGAACTCACGGTTTGCAGGCATGGGTTCACCGACCACATCGGCACGCTGGCCCATGTGGCAAAGGCTTATGCTGAGGCAGGGTATGCTGCTTATGGACTGGACTTCCCAGGTCATGGCCGTAGCGAGGGCCTTCGAGGGTGAGTTCTTCGGTTTCCATTGTGTTCCTGTGTGAAGCACTGAAGCGCTCCGGTTTCACGCTCGGTGCATGTCTTTTGGTCGTAACAATATCGGAATCTGCCAATCAAACGGACCAGGACTGTACACTGCCTTTTGATCCAGACGTTACTCTTTTCGAGGAGGTGGACTCTCCGCGAGAAGTCCCGAGACCCTGGTCCCTTTGTGAGATCCATGCGACTGCACTTCATAAGTGCAGGAGGTGGGACATCTCTGATTTTTACAGAAGATTTTTGCAGCAACTTCCGAACCCGTGTGCGGATCTTTGCCAATTGGGCTAGCATTTGGTACTTGGCCTACTCATGGATGTAGTAGCAGCCGCCCACTACCATCCTCTGATAAGGAAACGACCACAGCAGGGCTCTTGAGGAAAATCGAGACTCTTAAGCAGCTTCTGAGTTCTGCATCTTATATAAGCAAGCGTACGTCTGATGTGAGCAAGCATGGGTCAGCAACTGGAGTAAATTCTCTGCAATATTTGGAAGGCAGCTACGAGCATCTTTCCTCCATCTTTAAAGCTGTGGAATGCTGCAGCAACAACCCTTCGATCTCGATTCAGCAGCCGCGGAAAACAATCTCAAACCCCCTCACTTGTGCATAGGTACGTACCAAGTGTGGACCAGCACCTGGCCGACGCCCTACGCTACGTGGATGCGATCACGGGCGTCTCTCCTGTGCCCTGGCCCGTGCTCAATTCGACCACGGAGCAGTCTGCTACGCACGCACTGCAGCGGGCGCTGGGAACGCCAGACCAACGCTGGCGCCAAGTGGTGAGCCATTGCAGACCGATGATCTCTTGACCGCTTTCTTGACAAATTCCGATCTGCTTTTCAGCCTGTTTCACACTGGTTTTCCGTGGGTCTGTTTTGCACTTTCGCTTTTGTCGATACAAAAGGATAGAGGCGTCAAGTGGCGGCCGCGCTTTGAGATTTTTATCAGATTCCATCTCATAAGTACGGACCCGAGGATTTTCAGAGGGGAGATAGAGCGCAAGTTCCATGTCACTGGCTGCTTGTACGTTCGCAAAGTACGATTATCAACAGCTAAACAAGTGGCAGTTATAGGTGGCGATCGTTCATAAGCTGACCTCTGTCTCTGTGTTGTCGTTCCAAGCGGTCAGTTTTCAGGTTGGTTGGTTGCAAATTGACCGCTCGTTTCGACCGGTGTTTCAAGGTTCTGGTCGACATCATCTTGAATCAATCTTCGTTCCTCCATGTGATCCTACGGCGGACCATTGACCGTTTGCGCATGATTGCGCGTACGTACTTCTGAAATGCCTTTTTCGCAGGGAGCGAAAGCTTCCGAATTTCTGCCTTGATTTCAGAGTAAGTAGCGAGCAATTTGAAGCCCCTTTCCTGTCCCGTGTCAAAGAGGCCTCTTCGCTTCCTCCGCAGATCGGCAAGCCTCTCTTCCTGTGGGGTCAGTCTTTGGGAGGCGCAATGTGCCTGCGACTTGCTATCGAGCGGCCACACGCCTGGGACGGTAAGTGAACGGACAAGATCTCCGCGTTTCGTTTTCCTGGGTTCCGTAAGAAATGAAAAGTATTTTTGTCACGCGAATTGTCGTGTAGCACAGTGTTGAGCCATCCCGTCGGTACCTGTACATGAGCTTTAAGCGTTTAGAAAAGCAACGAGCCAGTAAAGGAAAGGACTCCACTTTCCAGCAGATGCGCGCCTGAAAGTTACGTCGACTAGAGAGGCTTCTGGCAACATACTCTGTCAAGCCACTTGTTCCTTCAACAACCTTCTGCAGAACGTGTCGCCCTCTCGCCGTATTCGGTCAGGGCTAGTCGACCCAGTTAAATCTCACTGCTGAAATGCTATGCTCTTGACCGATCTTCTACTTGATGATGTCAAAATCTTGCATCGTTTGCAGTCTCTTTCATTGTGAAGTTTACGCTCCATAGGTATCGTAGCTTCTGAAATTTTGAAGTTCGTCCAACGCGAAGCTTCAACTGACAAATTCAGAGCGCATCTTCCCGGTGTGCAGGCATGGTCGTTCTTGCCCCGGCAATCAGCATAGCGGATGATCTAGAGCCGAACCTTCAGCGAGTAAGTCACATGCCAACGTTGCTTCCATTCTTGTCTGTTCTGACTTTTTGAAGTCTGCTCTTGCTTGATGTATGTTTCAGCGTTTGCCAGCTTCACAGTTTCTCTGTCGATTTTACCGAGCTTTTTTGGATTTCCGGAAATCTATTTTGCGCTTGAGCTGCAGTCTTACGGACGGGACACCTACTCTGAGCCGTTTGGCGCGCCTGTCAAGAACAAAGTCAGCTATATTGACAGAGTAGCGAAACCTGAGCTGCATTGTTTTGAGGACCATCTTTTCAGATAGCGTTCGTTCGGTCCGTCATGAGCACTCTACACCCCTCACATAATACCCAGAGCCCGAATCGGCTTCGGAGAGCAATCTTATTTTGCGCTTCTAGCATTGGATGCTTTGGCATGATACCTTTCCGAAGCGGTGACCATTCGCTGACGTCACCCTTCTTCTGCAGTTTGCGAGATACGCGCCTGCGGTCTGGCCCACGATGCCCGTTCCGAAAGTGAGGCACGGCTAGTTTAGCTATCCGGTTTCTGTCCATTGCAGGTTTCGGTGTCTTAACTAAGTTACCGACTCTGATCGTACAAAGATACTCCTAGAGATTGCTCTTAATACAAATTGCCTCGTTTTCGCAGTTTGCGAGATATGCGTCTGCGGTGTGGCCCACGATGCCCGTGACGAAAGTGACGCACGGCTCCGGGAGCCGCAACCCCGCGGTCACCAAGTGGGAGAGCGAGGACCCCCTGCGCTTCCATGGTCACGTGAGCATCTAAACGCGCTTGTACTTTCCTTGTGCAAAGTCTTTGATCACTCCGTTCCACTTTCCTCTTAGGTTATGGCCGGTCAGACTGTTCTCGTTCTTGAATTGAAGGATCGGATGGGTGTCGAACAGATTGATTAATACATTTCGTTACGTGACGTTTTGACCGGCTGCTCTTCGTGTCATATTAGTTTTTGCCTTCCTGCCTGCTGTTGCGTAAGCATTAGACTGATGCCGTGGGGTCCGTGGCTCACCTTTCGACCGTGCAATGTCGCATTTTGCTTGGAAACCGTCCTACCGCATTTCGAATAGTGCGCGAAGCTTTCATAGATTGTGCCTCAAATGATGTGTGCCATTCTGCCGTGTTGCGGAGTCCGTCGCTTCGCTCTCAGTGTTTCTGCAATTGCAGAGACTAGAGGAAGTGTGTGGTGCTGTTCTTGGTTCTCGGTATTCTGGCAGCCGGACTGAATCAACGGGTCTACCCTCCTTCGGCTGTCAGCAACAATTGACCAAGCAAGTTTAGATTTCTCTTTTCGGAATAGATTCTTACCAGTTCAAACCACAAAAGGCAAATATGTAACTTTTGCAATCTCTGATGCCGAGATTGAAACCAGTACCTCTACAGCCTTCCGTGCCCCAGTTCTTGTAAAAGACAGAGCACTGAAGTTTTCTACAGACATATCTTGCAAAGATCAGGATGACAAGAGAAGTGAAAAGCTGAGGACAACGACTGTTTGAACCGTAGTCTCTGTGAGATTCTGCAATTTACAAACATCTCTTCTCTTGCAGATACGAGTGGGTTCAGTAGCGGCCATTATGGGCTCCTGTCGCTTCATTATGGACCGGCTACCGAAGATCGTCACCCCTTTCATAGTAATCCAGGTTAGTGCTTGTATCAATTTGTCGATGCTTTGAGGCAAACCGAGAAGCCGTCACATCATCGCCACCTGCAAACTAATCCGGATCAGTAGCTCTTATCTGATTTTTTGGACTCAGCTTTGAGATCAATCAGCGGCCTCCAATTTAGTTTCGTGTTCGACTCATCCAAGATAGCTTTCGACCGGGCTTTATACTCGCTTAATGTAGCCATTTGCATGACGAAGCTAGTTTAATCTTTCCTCATCACTTGATTAGGAACCCTCTTGTTCAGTCGAAACCGGAACCCATGTTGTAAGCCGTGCTTGCATCGATATCGTTTCCGAGGGATCAGTAACGTGAGTAAGGTTCACTAATGTCAGCTCCTTGTAATTCCTTGCAACCGCTGTCTAAGTTGGTCCGAAAATCATAGGCTCTCGTCGTTGACAGCTGAGGCCTTGTGCAGGGCTCTCTTGACACGATCGTAGCCCCTAGGAGCGCAAAGATCCTGGCCGACAGGGCCTCCAGCGGCGACAAGACGCTGAAAATGTTCCCCCACGCTTGGTGAGTCTCTGCGAATCTGCAACAGCTTTTTGTGCTTTCAGCAACGATTCTGGGTTTGCAAAGACTTCCATAAGAAGGAAGTAAAAGGCTGCACTTTTGAACAGATACAAAATTTGAAAGACAGAGTTTGTTTCTCGTCTGCGAAGCTCCATCGTCTGCATCCTCTCTTAGGAGTCGCTAGTGGGCGTCGGAAGCTTTTGAACACGCACGGTATGAGAAGAGGTTCTGACGAGAGGATGAGGACAACTGTTGCGGTATGGTAGGGCCCAGCACCATCAAGTACCAGATGAGGACTTGCACGTCTTATTTCCACGTCGAAAGTTTTGTTTGATCTCGTTTCCGGAGGGTGAAAGTAGTCTCGTATTGATCAGTCCTTTTCTTTGCGCATTCCAGGCACGATCTCGTGCACGAGCCCGAGTCTCCGGAGATCGTTGATATGATGCTGAAGTGGGTTGAAGGGCGAACCGCGAAAACCTTGAAGTATCCTCGAATGTGGTAGTGTTTGACGGCCGGTCCAGCCAGGAATTACGGGGGGGATATAACGGGGCAGCATAGATTCTTGAAAAGATCGTGTTGTACATGACAAATGCTCGCAGTTGAAGCGATTGAACCGCGTGCACAATTTGAATCTTGTAACCGCAACTACCAAGTCAGGTCGACAGGACATGGTAAGCTCAGTAGAGTCACGAAGTCGGTCCAGGTCCAAGTCCGGGCCATCCATGACCCGGGTGTTAATCTGATCATTTGTGAGGCCTGCCGCCTAGCACTCAATTGTTACTGATAGCCGCGCTAGACAACAGTTTGTGCCTCAAGACGGTAGTGGACTCAACTTCACCCAACTTATCAGGTGCATACTAGGCATTATTGTTCAATCAATGATCGAGCGAGGGTGAACGTGAAGCGATGCCATTAAATGAATGATTGTTAATCGATTCAGAATAGTGACGTACTGTTATGTTCAAGTTTGCAAGCTAGCGTGCTGCCAGTGGCTGGCAGTGCACCGGCCACGCTAGAATCGAGCTAATGACGTACTAATCATGACGGTACGGTTGCATCATGCATTTTACAATCGACTCGCAAGTCGCTACTATCAGTGACGTCACACTGTGGCATGATCATGGCGGCATGGATCATTCAGGCTTTAGATCATTTTGCCAGTTGGCAATCCGATCGCGCCATGCATTAGATATAAATTCAATGCGACACCACCATGCAGGTGTGCAATCAAGCAACTGATGATCGATTGAATGCGCGGCCCACATGGGCCGGCCGCCTGCTGGCGCAGAACATATAGGTTTGAAAGCTAGGGCGCGTGACGCTTTTCGCTCAGATCGAACCGTCCACCGTGGCGGCATGACGATTCATAGCTCGATTGAAGCTTTGTTCAGTTACTAGCCTAGCCGGCGGCGCCCTAGGCCGCCGCCGTGCTAAATAAGCTTACTGACTCCGTGAGTCTCAGTCCAGTGATGGACGATTCACGATCGCGATTGGCCGTGCGGTGGCTTGCCAGTTGGCAACGCACCGGCCTGGCGCACTTTCAATCTGATTGCATGTACGAACCAACTCGGCCTGGCATGACGGTCCAACACACACACACGGTCCAACCGACCGACGGTTGATCGGGTTAAGACCGTCGGTCGGTTGAGAACGATCCATCAAATCACGGGCGGTTCGAGCAATAAAAAGACTTACTTGAATGATTGATCGATTTGCAGTCGCTGTGGTACAGAGCTAGACACAACCAAACGCGTCTAAAACACTAGCTATATACCTCCGATCACTCTTAAACAATTATCCCAGCGCATTCCCAGTTCCGTCTTGGGACTGTCCCAAAGGCTGACCCAACTCTTGCAGTGTACAACTGCTTGCAGCGGTTGTTTGCCGCCGGCCGCGCGCTGTTGGCCCGCTGCGCAGTCGGCTTTTCGCAGATGCTGCAGCATATCCATACTACCCGTCTAAGTAACCGAACGGATGACTGATCTCGCTTATCTCTCTAATCCTGCGATAAGGAGCTTTTACTCCCTCGAAGCCGACCCTACGTGCTTCCAACCTCGTTACTGGGAGACTTGTCGCTTGTGATAAAACAAGACGTACGCTGACGAAGTCACGACCTGACTGGAGGACATTTCTAGAACGCTAGAATCGTTGTAGCAGTGCCACGTGGCGCCTTGCGACGCCGTCTCTTTACAGTAGGCGGTGTAATGGCCGCCGGTCATGCTCCCCGAGTGGTTGGAGACCGCCAAAAGGTCGTACGTAGCGTCCGCCGTTTGACTCGGGGGAGCGTCCTCACTGCAAAGAGGAGTCCTGTGAGTCTTGAATCTCGCGCAGGCTGTCGCTTCACTAGGTAATCTAGCTGAATGGTCTCATTGGGAGGTTTAGGCTGGGCAGACAGTGGCCTGATCTTGCAAAGTGACGGTTGGAACCGTCTGTTCGGACCGTTGCGTTGGCGGCGACCGGACGTCCGAAAACTTCTCATCGAAGCTGCGCCAATTAAGTACAGCAGAAAGCACTTAACACCGTACGTCTTTCAGCTAGAACAGAGTGTATGTGCTGTGCACTTCGGCTTTAGATCCGGAGGCTTGCCTCTCGAGCAGCTTTCTCATCGAAGCCAAGACTTAGGCGCAGCACGTGCTAGTCCTTCCCAGATCTCAGGGTACCGAGCCCGCCATCAGACCCGACCGTCAAACCGTTCCGTCGACAAACGCTTGCGACGTCCGTCAAGCGGTATCCCCACGTCGAACCTGGAAGATGCTCTTGTTGACGCAAGCCTTGAAAAGCAAGACAAGTGAGCTTCAGAAGAGAAGAAGCGGCCTTACCTGAGGCTCGGCCGCATGTCGAGCCCCTCTCGAGGGAAGTCCACGGTGGTGCTGTCCTTGGAGAACAGCGAAAAACGCGCGCCCGAGATCCGCTGCACAGAAAAAGCTGCCGGTGAGCGGGGCTTTCGATGAAGCAGCACCTCATTTTTCGATCATTCGCCTAGTGGACTTTGTCTCTACCTTCGCAGAAAAACGCTGCCCTGAGCTAAATTCACAGCGAAGCACCAGGTTTGTTCTGGGCGTTTCGTCAAGTGGAACTCTCGACTCCAAGGCAGCAATGAGAAAAGGCGCATCATAGTTGACGATACGCAGGGTCTGAAGCCATGTTTAGGCCACCAGTTTCTGTTGGTGAAACTTTCAGGAGCGTCCTCTCTTCCAACCGGGTTCGATAGGAGCGGATGTTTGTTGCAGGTCGCCCCTCGTGCCAATCAGTGTTTAACAGTCTTTTGTGTACTGCGGCAAGCATGCTTGGTTCCTCACCTTGATGTGCAACACAAGGACACGTGGCAGTTGGAAGACGGTGAGCTTCTTCGTGGCTGGCTTCGCAGCCTGCGAGAGAACACAGAGCAAGATTATGAATGATCGTTCTGGAACTTCTGGATGAAGGAAGGTAGAAAGAACATGGTTCGAATCGGGGCAGATTGCTCTGAGAGACAAACTTCTACAGATGCTCGAATGCGGAAAGTACTAGTGCCACATGAGCTCTTCCTATCGCGACAACGAGCGCTTCCACGTGTCCAGCGTAGTCGGAACGAATGATTCTTGAGCGCAGTGCTCCGAAGCTTCTCCGTGTCGATAGTGTAGCAGAGAACGTCCCCTTCCAAGAAGCGGAGGAACAAGTACTAAGCCCAGGACCAAAAGCAATTCGCCTTGCAACCCTAGAAAAGAAAGAGAACAAAACCTCTAGCGCAGTATACGGGCCCAGCTTTGCAGCGCCCGAAGTGCCAAAGAAAAGATCGGGGAGCTTCTAGCGGAACTTACGGGCCCACATAGTGGCGCTCACAGCGGAAAAGGAAGAGTAAAATCATTTCGAGGCGATATACGGGCGCACCTAACAATGCTCGCAATGGATTAGAAAGGCAAAGGAACCTGTTCGCCAATCTACGGGCCCCACCTTGCAGCGCTCGTGAGTCAAAACAAAGAGAAAAAAACCCGCAGCACTTTTCCGTGCCAGGTTGCAGTGCTCGTAATGGAAGAGAAAAGAAAAGAGAACCTCTAGCGCAATCTCCGGACCCACCTTGCAGCGCTCGCAGTGGTGATCCTCTTCGAGCTCCTCTTCGGTCGTGAACGCAGCGAGGCACTGCGCGAGCGTGACGGAGCGTCCGGGAGAAAACCATGCGCCGCTGTCGGACGCGTTTTTGGCTTTGGGGAGGGGTAACGAGAGGTCCAGAAAGGGGTCGAAGCAATGGGACTGGAGACCGCAATCTAAGCACTCGACGGTGCTTTGTAGCTGACCTGCAAGATACAAAAAGTGGGGTTTCAGTACGGCATCTTTTACAGAATGCAAACGGGAAGAAACGCCTTACGGACGTTTTCGGCTTTGGAACGGTAGAGAGAGGCCTAGGAAGAGGTCGAAGCAGTGAGATTGGAGCCCGCAGTCTAAGCACTCGACCATGCTTTGTAATTGGCCTGTTTGGAGAGAGACAGGGAGGGATTAAGTCGCAGTATCGACGTAACTCGAATCTGAGAGGACCGCCTTTTAGGGGCATTTGTGGCTTCGGCAAGGGGTAATGAAGATCCAAGAACGGCCTTCGATTGACGACATAAGGCGCACTACAAAAGCTTTGTGGACGCTTTGGAATGGCACAGAGTGACATACGGGACGGGGGCCATTGGGTTTATAGGCCGACTTTAAGCTTTCCAGCTGGCTTTTGAGGAGAGTGAAACATTTTGCGATGGGTACGCTCCTGGACGTGTTTCCAAACTTTAGGAGCAGCAACGAAAGAGGGGTCGTAGTGGCACACAATTGCTGCGGCATCTCTAAAAAGCTGCAAGATCATAGTTGTGTACGGAACACAGTGAGTCAAACAAGTAATCGGCCGCAATCAGAAACCACTCAAGCGGAATAAAAAGAGAGGTGGAAGCAGCCTTGCAAGCCAGACCGAAACTCTGAACTGAAAGATTGTGAACGACTTGTCATTCCGGACACGTCCTGCCTGTCTCCTACAATACGTTGCCGATCCATTATCCTTCGACGAGCCGCAACTTCTCAGTCAACGGCTGCAGACTCTTGAAAAACAGTTTCTTCGCCGAGCTCCCCAAAAGCTCACCGCTGAGGATGTCGGTATGGTAGCGCCATGCATCCCTTGAAAAGTTTTGTGAGAGACGTCTTCGCTGGACAATCAAGCACAAGTTCCCAGCGTATACTTTCTGTCTGTCACCCTCCTGAAATACCTCACCGCTGAAGATGTCCTGTATGACCGAGTCGTGCCGCGACCGGTGGTAGCTCCATGCGTCCCGCGCCAACTTTTCGGGGGGAGCGCCCGTGCTGGCCAGCTCCCGATAGAGGGGCTGCGCTCTCACTCGGGAGCAGTCCATGTCGAGCGCCTCCATGATGATGCGCAGGGCTTCCTGGCTGTCGTGCTGGTCGCCGTCCGCAAACTGTACGAAAAACGTCCAAAGACCTCAGAGAGCGTCCGAAAAAAACTGAACAGATGGGGAAGGTTTGCAGATAGTCTTTGCTGACAGTACAGGAGCTTGGAATTGTCGAGGGCCTCCATAATGATGCGCAGGGCTTCCTGGCTGTCGTGCTCGTCCCCGTCCGCAAACTGTACGGTTAGTTGGACAATGCTGCAAAAGCAAATGTTGGGTGGGTTCACAAAGGTTGCTGGATCCACAGGAGCCTAAAGCTGTCCATGGCCTCCTTTGTACAGCACAAGGCTTCCTGGCTGTCGTGCTCGTCATCGTTCGCAAACTGGACGAAAATAGTCGGATTGAATTCGGAAAGTATCGAGGAGACCAGACATTGGGGATGATGGGGGGCTTTCGCTGGGTTTGCTGCAATCATTCAAAAAGTACGATTGCCAAAGAGCCTCCATGACGATCCGCAGAGCTTCCGTTGTGCTGGTCGCCACCCGCAAACTGAACAAAGGCCGTCCGAGAGGGTCCGTAAGAATCTGACGTGAATTTGAAACTCGTCCGAGTCTGTCGATTGACGTGAGCGTTCTCCTTCCCATTTAAGAAAGATACTGTACCGAAGCTTTAGCACAGCGCGCAAGATCTCCTAACTATTTTGCTGATCGGGATTTGCGAAGCTTACAAAACTCGTACGAGGAAATCAAGTGTTGTAGAAGATTGCGATCGTCGAAGAGAAAGATAATCAATGTTGGCGCGCTTCGGAACCTTTGGAAACAGCAGCTACTTGAGAAGAGAGCCTGGCCTTTCCAAGCTCCTTTGTGCCTCACCGAGCAGAATAGTTTATGCGAATCCAAACAGCGCAACTTCGTCTCAGAGTGTTCTTTCAAGAAGCAACGCGCAAGCATAACGGAGCTATACCTGGTACTCAATCAGAAAAGGCATACTTCGAAATCTCTATACGATCCCCCTTGCTGAAAGGAAGAGTTTGCTTCTTACCTGCGGGGCCCATCTCTCGAGCCTGGTCAGAAACTCCTGCGGGTTCACAGACGACCCCGACCGAGCTTCCGTCATCCCCCGAAGAAGCCGTACCAAGGGCCCAACCAGCCTCGGCCGCGAGCCGTTACTTCCCCCCGAAAGAACTCTACCGGCCACGTTTTCCGAGTCCACTGCTTGCTGCAGTGCGGGGTCTTGAAGCGTCACGAGCGCCACCGAGAGAGGGGGAGTGCTTATGAGGCACTGCAATATGCTATTGAGAAAGCAGGTGTTGCCAAGGTTCCGCAGACCCACGGTCGGCCGGGCGATGCAAGTGTCGGAGATCGGGACGATCTTGGCGGACTTTCGTCGTGGGGGGGTGTCAGGCTGGGCACCTATCCGGAAATCTACCCCCCCGTTGTGGTGCAATTTGGGCACGCTCGAGAAGCGGTCCCCGCGGCTGGGGCCCAATAAGCTATCGGGGCTCAACGAGCTATCGGGGCTGTTGCTCCCGTACGTGTCGGGGCTTCGGATGCGGTTTCTATCGGGGCTCGTGCTGACGTCACTGCTGACGTCACCCCTGCTGCGGCTGCTGACGCTACCCCTGGTTCCAGTGACATTGCCCCTGCTCCTGCGGCCCCCCGCAGGCGGGTTGAACTCCTCTTCTTCGCTTCCGGACTCGGACTCGCTCGAGCTACTCAAGGCGACGTCATCGAGAGTCAGCTCCTTTCCCTTTGGCGACGGGTTCCCCTCGAATCGGCTTCTGCTCCTCTCCTCCTCCAACGGCGGTGTCAACAGCGTCCTCTGAGGGGTCCCCCTGCTGATGTCATCGCCATCCGAGATGACATCGGTGCAGACGTCACTTCTCGGCGACCGCCCTAACCCTGACGTGGCCCCTCTGTTCGATACTGCAGAACCTCTTTCAGCCGTTAAACCCCCTCGACTTCGATCCGTTCGTTCGTCAGGGTCCGCGCTCGCCTCCTGAAGCAACTTCATACCCCCCTCGCTGCGCCAGATTCCCGTCTCCCAACCCTGAGCCGAACTAGATGGAGGAAACTCAGGCTCCGCTGCAGAGGAGCCAGCTGAAGCGCCCCTTTTCAACGGGGAACTATCAACAAACCCCTTCCCCAAACCTCTGCCTGCTATTTCAACCTGGTTTTCCGCGAGCTTGACCCCCTCACTTTCCTTCCCTTGTCTCAAACTCGCGCCGTGAGCCGGTCTTTTCAGAGAGGCGCTACTCAAGGAATAGCTAGAACCAGGGCTGACATCGGCATGTGCCTGACCAACGCTCCTGGGGACGCCAAGTGGCACACTTCCATGGGGGCTGACGTCAGCGCCGTGGCTCCGGCTGACCCGCAGGAGCTCCTCGACTCTGACGCTGATCTCAGCAAAGTCGTCGAGGCCGCTCTGTTTCCTCAGCTGAGCCCTCGAGGCAGCGGCCGCTCCGAAACTCGTCGAAGCAGACGGTTCAAAACTCACATCTAGTTGCCTGCTCCCGCTGAGGCCCTGTTTCTCCGCCCCCGACCTCTTGTCTCGCTGCGACCCCAAAGCAGAAGTTCCCGCGTGCTGGCCAGACAGGGCCTCCTCCCTCTGCTGCTTGAATCGCTGGTGAACACTCAATTTGTTTCCGCCGCTAAAGCTGTCCTGAGCAAATCCTGGGTTATCTACACCTACTGTGTACTGCGTTGAGCCGCGGTTATCCACTTCTGATCGGCCCTGAGCTAAACTCCTACCAGCTGTTTGCACAGAACCAAGCCTGTCTATACTCGCGCCCCGGGCCCCCTTTTCTAAACCAATCCGATGCGCAGAGGAATCTGAGAAGAATGGATCTCCAGCCTGCCGCTTTGTGCTCTCAGCAAACTCCCCGCTTAGCCTCTCTAGGTAAGCGCTGTGACCCTTTCCTTCCGCAGTCTTCTCCGCAGTCTTCCTCATGGCCGTGGTCCCTCTTACGGACGAACTAGATGCAGGAGCTGTTGGAGAGGTAGGTTCGGACGCCGTCACTTTCCCACCTACCATCCGGTGGGGCTCGCTGACACCGCTCACTTTCCCAGTGCTCATTCTGGCTGCCCTTTCCCGGCTTGCCGAACGCCCCTTGCTGCTGGCGCTCCGCTGACTGGGCGTGACATCATACACCTTCACCAAGTAGGGACTGCCACTGGACTGGTAATTCCTGGCTGCATAAGGACTCTTTGCCCGCTGACTCTTTCCACCATCCAGAACCCTAATTCCCGCATCTCCCGCGTCTGGCACACCGAACCCTAATCCTTCAAAGGCACTATCTCGCCCTCCAATGTTGGAGGTCAAAGGCCGCGTTCTCGCTGGTGATTGTCGTCTGCTGTTGGAAGATGGGGACTGGGGATATGTTAGACCAGATCTTCCCGGTCCTGATCTTGGCTCATTTGAGGTCATGGATAGCTTGGCCCGGCCAGGCACACGGGCAGGAGAGGGCTTTCTGCTGACCTCAGAGGGGCAGCTGTCTGACAGCGGAGGCATGGCACCTGTGGTCTATCTTGCCCCTCTACATTGCTTTTGAGCAGCAAATCCCAAGCGAGCAACAGCCTTGCGTATGCCAGTCTCTTCTGGATCAATTGAATCTCTATGCACAGAGGGCACCCTCAGCACCCTTAATCTTCAGGAGAAGCTCCGCAAGCATGGACTCTGTATGCTGCAAGGCCATCAAGGACACTTTTGAATATTCTTTCAGTAAAGAGGCAGAATAGGTATCTTCTGAGCACCTCAATTGCCTCCTTCCAAGCGGTCAACCTGTCAGATGTGGATACGTATGTTGGTAGGTATCTCTGCTCTCAACACAGGTTGCAGGGTGCGTCAATGAAGTCCAACTTGGTCCCATTCAGGGCTGGGAAGCGTGCTTCCTCACTGGTTTGAAATTCTGCTCGAGTTCAGCTGGCGGCCTGCGGCTGCATGGATAAGTTTTGAGACGAACTTTCGGCCGTTCGCCTCAAGTGATCGACGGTTGGGACTTGATCAGTGTGTTCCTGCGCGCGTGCGCGGGACCTCCCAAGGGGGATAATGATCCGACCCAAAGAGTGACGCCCACCTCCCAAGGAGTGACCGTCGTCGATACCAAGGATCTGACGATATCATCTGGCTTCCTGATTTCTCCGTTTACAACCCTAATCTCGAAAAACCATCAAATGGTAAAATCAAAACCTCTTGATGAGCAGCTCATCACCTTTTATTGTTTCAAGCAGCATTTGCTTGCTGCTCTTCTTCGTCTTCCTAGAAACTTGAAAGTGATGCAGGAGACCTGAGGACACGCAGGCGTTGCCTCCAAATTCTGCCATCATGGCGGCGGGGTGTCTGCTTGCCTGCAGGACGTCATTGGGCATAAGCAAGCTGCATAAAGCCGAGCTTCAGCTACAACATCCTGCGATTGCTTCTGCAAAATCAAATTCCGGACATACCCACCGTAACACAGCGTCTGTCTATGCTGGCAACAAGCACAGGTTTCTTAGGAGCTTGTTTGGAGGGAGGGAGTTAGGGTCAGGCTCAAGCAAAGCCAATGCACGGTTGACGCGGCGATGTGCGGTGGTTGCGAAAGCTGGAGCTAGAAGGCAGAAAAGCACCACCGTGCATGATGACTCCTGGGAAGAAGCTTTGCAGATTGGGCCACAGAAGAGCACCATGCTCGACTTCTCGGCCCCCGAAGCACCAACTAGAAAGGGGGCTGAAAGGGCCGGGGTCCAGCCATTGGACGAGGAGTGGGACGAGTGGGAAAAGAAGGCCGTTGCATCCGATGGTGGGAGTGGTCGCAGAAAGGGAGAAAACGCGCATGAGATGACAGGGGGAGCTGTCCTCAGAGCACCTGGTAATGGTGGTATATCTCATTCTGCGGTGGCCAGAAATGCACGTGTTTTGGCAGAAGAGGAGGAGATCCGTAGGGAAGGTGCTGTGGCGCTTGATGGTGGTGACGGAGAGGGCACCATAGATGAGAGCGAGTGGGAATTGCTGTCTGAAGAAGAGGAGGCAGCCTTTCTGGACGCCCTCCAAAGCGCTGAAACCCCAATCGAGGTTGTGGTTGAAGAGGAGGAAGGGACGGAGGCAGGAGAGTGGCGGCCGGTGCCTGACGATGAAAAAGAAATGCTGCAGGAGCAACTAGACTCAACGGAGAAGCAACCACTCACCATCGAGCGGGTTTTGGAAGACGGGGCAACCGCGCCCGTGGGGGCTGACGAGGCTGAGGGTTTGGGGGTCTTGTGGGATGCCCCTGGTCCGATGGAGATTGAGCGAGTGGGAGAGCAGGGGCCGGAGACACTCGAACAGGCGGAGATTGAGCGGCTGCAGCGACTTTGGGAGGGGCCAGCCGATGGCGAGGGTGGTGTTCCCAATGCTGAGGTCAGCGGAGCAGGTTTGCGGCCTGATGAAGTGCCGGAAAGTGGGGAAGATTGGGAAGATTTTAGTGAGCAGCAACTGTTGCGGGTGCAGCAGCAGTTGAAGGCGTTCCGGGAGCAGTTCTTTGTGGAAGATTTGGACTGCGAAGAGTCGGATGAAGATTCTTCGGACGGTGAGATCTTGGGCGGGTTGCAGGAGGATGTTTGGGAGGGGGACCTTGAAGGGGAGATGACGCCAGAAGAAGAGGCGGAGTTGCTGAGAGAGGCTGAGCGGGAGTTGGCGGAGGGATCCGGGAGTTTGGAAGAGGAGGATGAAGACGCAAAACTTGTGCGGCAGCTGAACGAGAGTTCCAACTTTGGGGAGTCAGTTAGGGTCGCTAGCATAAGCTATGACGAGGAGAGCTCGGAAGAGGAGGGTGAACTTTTGAGGGGAACCGAAGCAGAGCTGAGGGAGCTGAGCGGCGAAACAGAGTTTGACATGTCAGAAGACGGAGATTGGGAAGAAGAGGAGGGAGAAGAATTGACAGAGGACGAGGCGCTGGTTCGGCTTTTGAACCAGGAACGGGCGGCAGAGTTGGAGTCGAGCGATGATGAAGACGAGGAAATCGAGGAAGACGAGAGCGAAGATGTTTGGGTGGGGGATCTCAGGGGCCAGATGACCCCCGAAGAAGAGGCGGAGTTGCTAGCTGCTGCGGAAAAGGAGTTGGCCGCTTTGCGGGGTTCTCAGAATGGGGTACTGGAGAATGGATCAGTGGAGACGGCGGTTTTGAAAGAGGTAACCGGGATTGATGCGGGAGAAGACGCGGTTCGCAGAAAGATGGCAGACACTCTGCGGGCTTTTGTTGACACATCCCCCCGGAAGCGCAAGAAAAAGCCCCCAGGGGAACGTGCGGTTTTTGTTGGGGAAGATGTAGAAGATCCAGCGGAAGGGGGTCCGTTTACTGCTGCGGACGAGGCGAAAATGTTGAAGAGAATGGAGAAGGAGTTGTCGGAGTTGAGGAAAGAAGATAAGTATGAGGACTTGGACGAGGAGGGGCGTGAAAAGAAGAAGCTGCCGATGGAGATGCGGTGCTTTGACACGGCAAAGGTGAGGGGCGGAAGTCTTGGAGCCGCTGCCTAAGACTGTTGATTGCGTGAAAGGAGGTGTGGTGTGGTGGATGTTTGGATACGGGCGCTGGCTTTTGGCACTGGTCAGGCTCTCTGCATTCACGAAATGCTGAGGGCTACAGTTGAAGCTTAATGACTACTGTCTGCTTCATTGATGTTCCTTCTCCTTAGAAACCAAGCCTGCTCCTGCGCAGAAAGAATGAGAGATTCGCAAACGTTCTGGTCATTGTCAGAGGGAACCTTCTCAGGACCTTATATGATCTGCAACGTGGAGGAGCGGTTTTTGGCATCTGGAAAAGCAAACAGTATCAGCCCCGGGTATGTATAGCGGCAACCAATCTTGCACTCCGAACTCTTCACCAATCAATTCCCTTAAGGGTCTGTAGGCGCAAATGTTCTCCAGAAAGAACGTCGTTTTCGTTTATATTTTTCCTTACTCTTATTGCCTTCCGGCATTGGAAGAGTCGATTGACTGAGAGAGTACTCAATACCACTACTCCGGTCATTCCTGCAGGTGTATGTGAAAGCCGGCGACGGCGGGAATGGGTGTGTCGCCTTCCGACGTGAGAAGTTTGTGGCGTACGGGGGCCCCTCCGGTGGGAATGGGGGCCGCGGGGGGCATGTCTTCGTCGAGGTTGACCAAGGAATGAACTCTTTGCAACCGGTGAGCGACAATCTGGATCTTCTCGAAGAGCGTCGCTATATCATTTGATTCCGGGCCGCTCTGGGATGTCCTTTGAGTCCCGGTATTTTCTGTTGTATCATGATTGGTTCTGAACAGAATATTGAAACCAACTTTGTGGTTTCATGCGTATTGACTTGGAGACGCTTAGGATCGCTGTCTTCTGAGCCGTTGAGTTGGTGAAAAGCACTTTCTGAACAACGTCTTATGGAGCTGTGCAAAGTGTACGTTAAACTGCAGTGTTTAGATTGCTTTTCGTACCTCCTGACAGTCACCACTGGTATCGTTGACTCAACAATCAACTTCAGATGACATACTTACTCCTCCAATGCAGCGGTTCGAACGGTGGCGCTTTGAGACCATTTTCCTTTGATTCCTCTACTTCTGTTTTCCAAATCGCAGGCGTCTTATTCTGTTGCCTGACGAGTTCCTTTTCTGTGACGTCTGCAGTTCCGGAAGCAGATTCACTTCCGCGCTGGTAGAGGGGGGCACGGCGAGGGGAGCAAGTGCGAGGGGCCAAAGGGCGACGACATCACCATCAAAGGTGGGCCAGAATGAACCTCCTGGCGAAGATCTCAAAGTCTTGTGTTAGTTCTGTGGCAAGCTTGGCTGCGTCTGCCACGTGAGCAGCTTCAATTGACGCTCCTCTCTGCTTAGAAGGCGTTCAATTGAAGAGCTTATACAGAAGATGCCAGCCTACCCCTCCAGCCCAAACAGAGGCGGGCGGACAAATTGCAGCGATGCAAATTCTGCAAAGCTTTGAGCTGTTGTTGGCGCTTGGTCCGTTGCCCACTCTACATGCGGTTCTTAACGTCCGTCACTTCGTCAGCCAGAAGATTGCAACGTAAAGCCAACCAGATATTGTTTTGCAGTTCCGCCGGGGACGGTTATCAAGCGCGCTCGGGAAGGTGGCGAGGAAGAGGGGGAGTGGCTCATGGAGCTTGTGAAACCAGGCGAGGTGGGTCAGCTTCGTTTTGCTGGGTCGCAGTCTGTTTTTGGCCCTAACATGGGTTCGTAGAGTGGCCTTCCAGACGCTGGGGCCGAGTAGTCAGGACGTAAACCGGGCCGTCTCAGTCACCGCACATAGTTTGTTGACCAAGAGTTGGCAGCGGATTCCCAAGGCGAGCCTTGCCCTGGCTGAAGCCGCCGGGTTCTGCGTCCCCTGTGGACACATGGCGTTATCTGACCAGAGCACGCGATGACAAAACGTCCGCTCGGTTTTCTGAGGCCTTCTAGAAGCGCCTTCCAAGACAAAGGTGGCGTGCACTTTTCGGACCCACAAAGCAGAGAATCTCCATCTTTTTAACTACTTTCCTGTCGAATCAGAGTTTGTCCTTCATCATTTCGGTCGTCATCTTCGAGGCCATGCTTTCAGCACATTAGATGCTTTTGGCCACGAACACTTCCAGTGTGCACCGAAACGGGCCTCTCTTGTGATCGTCGCTCCTTTCCCATACCGCAGAAGCAAGTCCTGATCCCGGGAGGACGGGGCGGCCGCGGGAACACGTCGTTCAAGTCCTCGCAGAACAAGGCCCCCGTCATCGCGGAGAATGGGGAGGAGGGCCGGGAAATGTGGGTCGAGCTCGAGCTGAAGGTGAGGTTACCTAAGATCGAATCTGGGCTCCAGTAATGGTCCTCCCACTTGCCTCTCGTGTTTCTCGCTTTCTTCTCGTCTAGTACACAGAAGCAAACAAAGCTGCCACCTGCAGCTTGACGTCCGGTGTTTGAAAACAGGATTATTATTGTAGGGACTGCCGGCCTCTCATTGTTTCCAGTAGTATTGTCCAAGCTTAGGAGGGTCCCTTTCCGGGTTTCTCACTGGCCGCGAGGTCGCTTCGAAGTCTAGCAACCTGAGACTAAATCCAGCTTAGTATGGGTCCCTTACTGCATGGTCTTTACCGATCTTTCTCGGTTCCAAGTGCCATGCTTTGCGACTTCGCGTTTTCAACTCTGCCACAGAGCGACCTTATGCTTTCTGACGTTCACGAGCCATTCCTGCCAGCACAGCAAGACTAGACGAGTGAGAGCCGTGCAAACACCGAAGGTAAGATTCAGGAATGGAATTTTGTACCATTCTTTTAGGCTGAAGCGTGGGCCGGAGTGCAGTCGACACCTTTGGGCTGACACCCGCTTTTTCCATTTTGCAGCTCGTAGCTGACGTGGGCATCGTAGGCGTCCCAAACGCTGGAAAAAGTACCCTTCTCAGCGTGGTAAGAAAATCTGCCCACAGGTGTCATCCCACTTTTCTGGGTGATTGCTTTTCGCTGCGTCCCGGCCGTTTTAAATTTCGACATCTTCTCAGGTGTGCACCCCTTGATGAGGAGCTTTTCTCCTGGAATCTGGATTGTCCACACAAGCCCCTACCGAATCCATTGTTTTTGACGACTTTGCTTTGAGCCGTTCTTGCATGTGATTCGTTTTGCCAAGAGTAGTTGGTACTTTGGGTTGCCGTCGAACGTTCCCATTTTGCAACTTGCAACTTTTCGAAAGCTGTCTCGCTTGGAGCCTGTAGACCGTCATATGCAGACCGAGAATCCGCATATTTGTTCTTCTGTCGCTTGATTAGAGACGCCGAACGTCAATAGCCTTCCTTTCAACCCGCGTCACTCAGTAGTCGCAAATTAAAACGCGGAGATTCACCAAAAGCTACCAGAAAACGAGGTTTAAACCAGCCGTTTCCTGCTTAGGTTGCAGAGGTAGTACTGCTGAAGAGTGATATGCACAGAGATGATTCTACAGTCGGGCCTGTGCATCACTCCTCGCAGATCAGTGCAGCGAGGCCCAAGATTGCGAACTACCCGTTCACGACGCTGGTGCCAAACCTTGGGGTCGTGGAGATCGACTACGAGACCATCGTCTTCGCGGACGTGCCAGGTCTCTTAGAAGGTGAGTGTGCGTTTCATCCGACTAGCAGGTGTGAGAGATTGAAGCATGGCCGATTGTTTCTTGCCCGACGGGATGCACCGAGATCAGGATACTTCATCCGACTTTGTGAATGGTGAGCTGTTTCTTTGGCCTAATCGACAATCCCCTCTGGTCAGCGAGGTTGAAAAGAAGGGCATCTGCAGTATGCGCACGGCTGTCAAGCGCGCAGCCGCATTCCCGCACGTAGCTGAACGAAATTGTAATTGCTCGAACGAGAGCGGCGCTTGTCTCACGGCCATGAAGACTTTCTGTCTGGGATTGCCAAGTCTCAGGTGACCCTCGTTGCGAGCCGGCGTCCGTTTGTCAGTCAAGTCTGGTTTGAAGTGTTAAAGTAGGCTGCGCCTGCCCGCAGATTATCGCTTCTCTTATTGTGCCCTAACTGCAAGTCGGGGCGTTGCTAATATGGTATTCCGTACAAAGAATGGGAGATACTCAAATGTGCTGGATATTCTGGAGTACAGTCGGTTGTCCCTCGCTTACAGCGCTTCGGATACCTGGCCTCGGAAGTGACATCAGGCTTGGTTTGTGCTGTCAAGTGGCTTCTCCTTGTTAAATGTTCTAAAACCCACACAGATGAGCTGAATTTTTGCACGTTATGCTCGATTGTCTTAATCACCAAAATTATGTTATTTGGGATAGTTGCTCCGCACGTCAATCTTTCTGCCCATGTGGTCGCAATATCGGGTTATGTTGGTGGCAGACAGGACCGCCAATGCGAGCCCAGTGCTCAGCGCAGATTTATTGTCCACCTGCTCTGAAACCTTTTCATGAATCCAAACAATCAAGGTGTTGCTGGTCATGATCATGGGGTAATGAGCGTTTGACCCATTTACCTCTTCAACTCTTTGATGCCATCATTAATTGACATATCATTGAAAGGACCTTCTATTATAATCCCTTAAGCTCTAGAATCCTGCCATCCTCCTATTTGCATTCTGCTCTTTTCTTGGCGGGCTTGCTTGTCCCCGGCATGGGTTTGTTGGACCCAGTGGTCTAGCACCTTGGCCTCACACTCTTGTTGTGAGGGAAGGCAATCTGAAGAAAAGCTCTGTCAGGTTCTTGACTATTTGGTCACCGCAAAGAATCTGCCTCTCGTTGAGGTCCATTCTGGTTATGCCCGCTTGTGCTCCGATTGGTAGCAATGACAGCATGAGCATGGGACATCCGCTTCACGCGTTTGCTTTCAGCAAGATGCCAGGTCTGCTTCTCTAAAGAGGCTTTCTCTGTATGTAGCATACTTACGAGCTCTTTTGTTTTAGTTAATCTTAATGATAGGAAGGATCTTGGCTCCCAATCTGAATTGACAGCAGGGATTTTGATAGGTGAGTCTCTTCTCGGGCGTCCTGTGCCTCCGTGCTGAGTTTGCAATCAATGAATGGGGTTCAAATCCTCTGGTTGATGCTGACACGGCACGTCCGGCAGGCTCAGAATGCTGTCACGGACGTCTGAAAGTTTTGGGATCCTGAGTTGTGGGCCGGATCTCACGTGCTGAAGTTTCCAGAGCACTTCTGCTGTCGAGAATTCAACTCTGGGGGCAGGGATGATCCGTTGGGCTGTTATTGCTCACTTGCTCTTTCACGTCCTCACGATGCCACCCTTGGTACCAAAAGTGGCTCCAGCAACTCGTTCACAGCTTAATCAAGAGTTTGTTGATTGTATAGTTGGGTTCCTTCTGATCCGCTACACCAAATTAGATTTGTGTCATTTTTGGTAACATAGATAGAGTTCCGCTAGGCAAATTGATGACCTTGTTGTCAAATAAAGCTTTTCGTTCTCCTGAAGCCCAGGAACGCAAGCGTCGTTTAAATGCAAAGAAAAGTAATACAATGTTGCCGCATTTCGGAAGCTGAGAGGGCAACCGTCGCCTCATGTAGGTGTTTCCGGCTTTCTTCTGGGCCTGTACACGTTCCAACCTTGCTTATTCCCGTCTCGTCCGTTCTGCTTGATCTGGCTTGCTCCGCAGCGCAGGTTGGTACTCACCTTGTGAACAACGTGCAAGTCCCGTTTCCGCCCCCCGACACATGGGGGAACACGGATCTACCTTACATCGTGCCTAAAAGCAGCACCCTTCTTTTTGTGATTTTCAAACCAGATATACTTCGAGGAGTATTACCCCTGAATTTGTAAGATTCTGCCTTCCGTTAGCTTCTGTCAGATCTGTTGGTCATTGAGGTCTCGACTCGAACGATCTCATTGTTCAGTGCTTTTACAGCAAGACAGGCGTGGTTGCCGCAGTCTCTTATATCAAGCGTTTTCATGCTGGGGCGAGGACGCCCGTATGGGAGGTTCTTTCCCCATCGCTGTCGCAGGAGCTGAAGCCACATAATTTCAGCATCAGTCTCCTAGGATGTGCCATGCTTGGAACAATCTTGCAGTATCTGCGGACAGCGTATGTCCCTATATGCTTCTCACCCTTACTACATTCCTTCGTCTTTCTCCCTTTCATCGGGTAGGTGCTTTCCTCTCACGTATAGATTGGGCGGCTTGCCGTGATTCGAGACATGGGCTCCTAGCTTAAAAAGGTGGTGTTGGGTCGATGCTGACGCCATTACTAGCTTGCTTGGAAAAAGCTCAAAGTTCCGTCATCTCTAGTATGCGGATTTCCTGCAACCTCGTCCATTTCTTTCCCTCCCACTTGCAGCGTGTGAGGTTGGCCGTGATTGCAAACCTGGGCTCCTGGCCCATAAGTCCAGATCGCCAATCGATGCTGACGCCATAACCAGCTGCTTAGTTCATGCTTCAAGTGCCAGTTCTATCACCCTGCCGCTTCATGTCAGATCTGGTGTCTTCCCTCAAAGCCGTGTCATTCGTTCAAGGGATGGAGATGCTTCGTACTTTGCCGTTTGGCGCATGTCAGCTTCGGGTCTGCTCACCTTGCCTCCGCTTTACTTTTGAAAGGACGATTTGAAGACTGCAATACGCAGCAGCAGCAGACACGTTGGAATGTGAACCCCTTTCATTTTCTTCTTGAAGCAACGCCGGCCGGGCTCTTCGAACCGGTGCGTTTGCATTTTTGTGCGTCTGTTGTGCCGATGTGCCCTCCCTTTCGTTTCCGTTGGCCATAATAAAATAGATGGGCCCTTGGCTAAGATACGTGGTAATATTGACGCCATCTCGACTTTGCACCGAGTCCCAAACCGCCATATTAGTCTCCTCCCATCGGTTTGAGTTTTAGCGTATGCTTAACTTGCATGTGCTCAGTAAGAATGCGAGATGTCGTTGTGTGTCCAGCACAAAAGTGGACAAAGTTTTAAAGGAATGGCGCCATTGCCATTGATTTTACGGCGAGGATTCTCCTACACGATGGGCTGCATTGCCCAACTAGGTAGCGTGAGGACTGATGCCATGCAAAATCGACTTTGAAATGCTACTTTCATGTGATTCTTGGCACCCATCTGCGGGATTGTTTGCCATCGAAACGCATCACTATGATGCTCGTTTCTTTTGGCCGTCGCTACGGCCCTCGCCCGTCTTGGAGCGGCGCACGGCTCTGCTAAGCGGAGCTCTCACGCTGTCATTCCGCTTATTTGAGTTGCGCCTCCGTTTATCTCTGTCGTTGAGTCCGTTGTCAAGTCAAATTCAAGTCTGTCTGGCCGTTGCAGCAGAAATCTGGACGTCTTTCTCTCGCATCTTGCATGGAAAGTGAGAAGAAACGGCACTCCGTTTTCTTGACTTTGGGCGGAAGACAATTCAACGGACAGTGATGTGGACAGAACTGGTACCAAAAAAGGGCCTTGACTTTGGGCGGAAGACAATTCAACGGACAGTGATGTGGACAGAAGTGGTACCAAAAAAGGGCCATCCACCCTGTCGAACCTGAAGTCAGGCGTAATACTTGGTCAATCCGCCCCTCTCATGCCTAGGCACAAGCTTCTGCTCTCATATTCTAAGACCAATGACTTTCGAGCAGCAGACGGTGGCCATGAATTGGGCCAGGAAGTGTACGTGCGTCGGACTGGTCCCAACGTTTGAACTTCTCTTGACGTGCTCTCGGTTCTTTGCTATGAAGCTGGTGGAGCCAGCGATGAGCCCCTCATAATTCGCCCAAGGACTTCATTGTTGCAGCTTCGTCAATATCAAAAAGCTTGTAGGACCCTTCATGAAGGCCTCGTTTTGCGCTGGCGACCATTGCAACCTGCACGGGGCATTCTCCGCCTCATTCGAGCACCCACAGACTGTTTTGAGCCACTTTATCTGACAAAAGTTTGCCGAATCATTGACGCATTGTTGGGCCCGTTGTCCACCCGACTCTAATCTGAAAGTTGTTGTCGGTGTTCATCCTTTGCCTTGGCTGACGTCATGTTCCTGCACCATTCTTCTTGTACTCATACACCTTGTTCGTGGGGTGTGGAAATTTTTCTTGCTCTTAGTCGTTGTTGTTGAGAGTGTCGGTCGTAAAGGGGAGTGCAGAAACCGCGTTCTTTGACCACTTTCTATTAGTGCCTCGGTTATGTTCCAACACGAATTTTGCTCCGCGTAATTGTGGTTTGATGATTCTCCTCAAACTTCGGCAGAACGTCTCCCCATCAGGATTTAAGAAAGCTTGCGTCCTGGTAATAGGGTCACGTACTACAACTAGATTCTATGAGCTTTCGGCCTCTGGTGGCGAGGAGGACTTATTTCGAGGCTTTTACACCTCACCACCTCAGGTACATCCCTCGCTCTGACGCCACCCGTTGGTCGCTCAGCAAAAGTAACCTGAGAACGCATGTGCGATTCCGACAGGTCGCCACTCAGTCTGTTGCGTCAGCTTATGACCTTCAGCATCAAGCCAGAAATTGACTGGTCCCTTGGTCACGTCAACAGGGACTGCCAGGCAGGTACGAGCGAATGGATGACCTCACAGTCATAAGTTGGGCACGGCATGGCTCCTGGGAACACATGTTATTTCAACTCACGGCCGCCGATCCCTCATTTGCAAATGCAGATAACTGTTTTTTGATTCTCCGACCGTCTGGATGAGGCAGTTGGGCAGCCCTTGATTTTGTAGGTGTTGGCGGCATGTTCCGTCTCACTGGTTGCCCCGCCGGCCTTTTCACAAACTGCAAAGCTAAGCTTGAGGAGTCGTAGCTGCCTGAATGCGGCAGACATGTTCGGCGCACCCTTCCATTCCGTCATTTTGATGTTCTCAAATCTGGTTGAAAGGTCGCGATGCGCGTATTGTCGGTTCATCTTTGCTGTCTACCTGTTGAGGTGATGTTAAGCATTGATTGTAGGCATTCTAGCTGTTGCGATTGCTTGTTCGCTGTGTTCACGTCCATAATTGCGCGTGCTCGTTCCAACATCGGAAGGGGTGGATGTGTTGTCTGAAATTAAGAGACTGGAGAAGCTTTTGCCAACTCTCAGGTCCAAAGAATAACGCCTGCTCGCAATGACAGATTGAGCAGTCGGTCGGAGATGTGATGTTGACTGTTGTCTGACCCATGCTTTTGGACGCGCGGCGATGAAAGATTGTGGGGTCATCATCCTACCCCAGATGCTCTTAATGAGTGTGAAGCCATGCGGTTGATTATATATTTCCCAAGCCATTCATACTTTGGGGCGCTTGGCTATGATTGATGCTGGGGTCATTACCTACCCCAGGTACCCTTACTTCATGTGAAGCCACGCGGTTCAACACACCATTCCAAATCTTATTTACGATGCCATGACATTCTTGCGGGTTTTCGAATTGCGATTACCTGTGATACAACCCCAAGGCCAGTGCTTGTAGCGCAGCGCTTGTCGATTGAAAGGCGCCTCCGTGGTGCGCCAGTCTTACTGGCGTCCCTGATAGAGCAGAGGCTTGAGAATCAGAGGACGCAGAACTCTGCTCGGCTTACGTCTTAGCGTCCAAGACCCTCCGCCAGGGGAAGACCAGTCCCGCCTCGATTGTTTCCTTTTGAATGACGTGTGCTTCCTTTCCTCAGCGCTCCTTGCTTTCTGGGTGGGCAGCCCTGGAACCTAATCAGCATATCAATGGGCATATACCTGAGCATTTGTCTTTCAGGCACACGTTTACACAGGCCGGCCCTAAGGTTCATGCGGTTCTTTGCGACTGTAAACTCAGCCCTGATCCTGAATGCAGGTCGGGCAGAAAGCCGATAAAGTATTGCTCTGCATCGCACAAGAAGAGCTTGACTGAGTCCCGAGAGTCTTGCGCTAGATCCCTTCAGTCAGTGAGATTCGATACGCCTTTTTGAACGCAGGCGCCCACACTGGCCACGGTCTAGGCCAGGAGTTCCTGCGGCACTGCGAGCGCAGCCGCGTGCTGGTGCACATGATCGACGGGACCAGCCCGCAGCCCGTGCACGACTTCGAGGCCATCTGCAACGAGATGGCGCTCTTCAATCCGACGCTTGCTCAGAAACCGCAGGTAAGAGCTATTTGTTTGTTCTTTCAGTCGAGATATTATTAGCCGGTTGCTCTGCAAAAACAGAATTGGTATTCCGAATCGCTTGACCATCAGCTGTTACGGGCCATTTGCAACGAGATGGTGCTCTTCACTCTGGCGCTTGCGCAGACACCCGCAGGTGAGCGGACTTGCAGTCCCGCGTACTCTCTGAAGAATTTGACAGCGACCAACTTCTAATTACACGCCTGTTGGTCGAAAGCTCTCGGCGGTATTTGGAGATCCCCTTACCGCGGTTCAAACTCGTATGTCGGTCATAAGCGCAAACGCCCGGTGGCTACCTGCTATGATGAAGACGGAGCCGTTGTGCTTTCCGCTTTCGTGGGTTGGATAGGACAATATGAACAGGCTGCTGCGCTCTGCACAGATGTCAGTTTTTCGGATTTGCTGCACACGATGTCCCTGATAGGCACTGTCTCGTTTCCCTCCCGCAAATCTGGACTCCTGGCTTGGATCGTTATGAGCTTGCGCAACACCAATAGTCAAACGCTGCGTCACCAGCACATCATTGACGCTCCTTCTGTGTTCTTGCAGATTGTGGCCTTCAACAAGATGGACCTTCCTGAAGCGCAAGAAGCGTGGCCCGCTTTCCAGGCCGCCATGCTGGAGCGGGGGATCGAGCCGGTCGCAATCAGCGCCGTCGCTCAGGAGAACGTGACCACCATTCTGCGTCAGACGCAAGCGTTGCTGAAGGAGATTGCGAACCCGTACGCGTTTGACCCCTTCGAGCGGCAAGGTCAGCTGTTTTGCCAGTTCGGCGCTTGGTGACGACTTTTTACGGCTTGCGAGTCGCCGGACGACGCTGGTTATACGCCATGTCTCCTTCATTTCTCGAACAAGTTCCTTTCTCTGCTCCGCAACCGAGCAGGAGAGCTTGCGCGAGTGTGATCACAGTACTTCACAGGAAACATGCAAAAGACGGGTCGAGCGATTCTCTATTCGTGCAACTTTTGGGACACCAGTTTGAAGCGAATACGGCGAGGGTGGTTGTTGAATGCAAGAAACGGATTTGATGTAACATCCAGCTACTGTTTACTTTCCTGCTGATCCAATACTGGACGCTTGATCCGCAGGCAGGAAAAGTAGCTTTGCAACTTCGACGCCCGTTCTCTTTCTGCTATTAAATCGACTTTTCCTGTCGGCAGAGCGCAAGGTCAAGGTCACCGTTCCGTCCAACGACACGGGCCCCCCCATCGACGTCTTCTCCATCGAGCAAGACCCCCACACGCGAACCTGGACGGTTATCGGCGAGGGTTTGGAGCGGTTTACGCAGATGACCAACTGGGAGTACTACGAGGCCATAAAGCGGTTCCAAAAAGTGTTGGACGCATCGGGGGTGAACCAGGAGCTGCGGCGAAGGGGAGTGCGGGAAGGGGATACGGTGGAGCTCGGGGAGGTGCGTTCAGCGATTCTGCGGCGGCTAGAGTGCTTGGCTGCAAGTCTCTTTTGTGTTTTGCTCTACATTCCGCTGCTTTTGTGGTAACAAAGAATGTGGACCATCGTATGCGGACGTGCTTCTTGCGATAAATGCGTCGGAGGGTAAGCTTGAAAGCGGCCGTCTCTCTGTTGTACGGTCAATGGACACACGTGCTTGTTGCGCCGTTCTTTGCTGACAGTATGCTTGAAGAGTTCGGCTTCCGTCTCGTATACCACAGGAGATCGATCAAAATCCAATCACTCTTGATTTTGAACTACAATCCAATCACTCTTGATTTTGAACTACAAGGCCAGACGTTCGGCAACCGGACTCAGCTCATTCCTCTTCTATTTCACGCTTAGACAGTCTGGTCAGTCTCAGCTTGGAGACTACAAACTCTATCAGCTTGGCGCAAACCGCAGCAATAGGAAGGGTTCTGCCAAGTTGACTAGGCGGGCTTTGCGGACTTTCTGCATACACCACGTTTGCTACCGGAGTGAGGCCGGAGCTTGTCATGCAACCCCTTTCGTTCTGGATGCGAGCGAAATGAAGGCTGCAAGAAAGACCTTGTTGCTACTCGCCTCCTGTCATTCTCTCAATCTCTTACGTTCTCTGCTCCTGCCCGCAGATGGAGTTCTCCTGGATGGACAAGGAAGACTGGAACACGTTCGGCGATGGGTGGACACGTGGCACCCGGGGGTCCAAGCACTGGCCGCATTAGCGTCTTTAAACCCCACAGGTAAAGAGGTAGTCAGCGTAATGCAACGAGGGTTGATGATTAAAGCGAGGTGTTCTATGTGCGCAAAAACTTGTTCGAAACTGAGGAAGAGACATCGAGGTACGAATGGCATTTGTCTCCAGATGACATTCAAGAATTTTTACGGGTCGGACTTGCGCGACCACTCTGGCGCAACGAGCTTGGTCCTGTGATAAAGTGTCCTTTAGGGTATGCCTACCACTCAAACGAGAAGGGCGTTGACAGAATGATTGCTCCAAGGAGTTCAGTACGGAGAGATGGATTACCATCGTCCGTGTTTCTATAGAGAACATTACTTCGCACTGTCTGCGATGCCACTTTCATTGAGATGTCACTTTCATTGAGATGTCCATCTGATGCGCTTTCTGCGGCAACAGGATCTTCCGTGCGTCGTTACTTAAATAGGCTGCTTTTATCCTCGTTGGCCATGATAGAGAACCCGGGCTTCTCTTGGCACAGGTAATGGTAGCCATTGCTGGAGCAAAGCGAATACCAAGCAACTTAGGTGTCTGTTTCTTCTGATAAGTGCACCCCGGGACAGAATCGCAAGCAAACCACACACCTTATACACTTAGTACGAAAGGCAATGTCGCTTTCAAAGCTTCCATTCACCACCCCTCGTATCGCCTGCCATCGCTGCGCACCGGCAAGTTGCACCAGTTACGCAACTCCTAGTCATCCTCAAAGCCTGCTCATGTGTAGTCCGCGCGCGTCAGGTCAAGTACGTTGGATGAATGTGACTCTCCGAAGCTTGCATCCTTGCACACGACGGTCCTTCGCTTCTGTATATTTTGTCAAGATCTACACGTGCACCGCTTCAGGTGGCAAGGACGACGGGCTGAGTTTTTAAAGCTTACAAGCAGGTATGGTACGTGCCGGTAGCCATCTACTTTTTTGTGTCTAGATTTGCTTCTGAATTCTTCGAAGTCTTGCCTCTTCTTCAGTTAACGCCTTTAGAGGCTTGCCCTTTGCGGAGTCAACTCGACTTGGCAGTTGTGCTCGATATCCAGATCGTTATGAACCATATTAATTTGGAGGGCTGTTAGAGCCCCAATTCTTGTTGCCAGTCGGGTATCAGCTCGTACACTTCTCAAAATCAACCGTGACTACATAGACCATGCATGCTTCTGGGTTTGCTGCCACTTTCGTGGATCGGATTAGTCCAGGGTTATGAGTCTTGTGTTGAGTTGAATGCAGGTATCTTTTTGGATCTGCATGGTTGTTGTGACGTACCAGGCGGAAGTTCTCTCACTGGGTTGGGCATTAGTACGTTCTTATGAATCGCATGCTCAATTGTGTGACACCCAGCCCCTTGGAGTTGTTTTGTTTGGTGCTTCCCTAATGATGTGCTCGTCGGCAGTGCTAATCGGCTAGCACTCGTGATTAGTTTTGATTACCGCGTGAGACGCTTGCTTTTCGAGGGCAGATGAGCAGGATCTAATCCTGCTTGGTCCACAAGCTCGCCGAGGCATGTTTCGAGTTCCGCAGCCCTCAAATCTGCTTCTGATGGTGTTGCCACAGAGCGTATTATCTAGTACTCGATGCTATCAACATCGCGGCCTTTGGACACAAGCCTTTAAATTGTGATTCGATTACATCTATCTCCGAGGGCTGATTATCGCCCGCTTTGGAGTATGGTAGCTTTCTGTGTCTGCATGCGCTCAATATTAATAGTCACAAAAATCTCGATTCAAAGCCGGTGTCACAAAAGAGATGTCATTAAAGCGCACTGGCGTTTCTGCAATAGAGCAATGTTCACGACCCCTTGTCTTCGACGTTTTCCGAACCAAAGGAGAGTCTGCACGGCGATGATAAAGGAGAGAGCGACGTTTGCCAATCGTCACTGATCCTTGAACGTGTTTGATGCCCAAAAGCTTCGTGACAAAAGATGCAGGCGGGCGACCTGGTTGAAATCCACACTACGTTGCGTCTCAATTGCCTTGTTCTCTTTTCACAGTGAACCCACTTTACAAGCACTGATTGAGCAACTTCGTGACCTTTGATCATGCACTGGTCGGTTCCTCAGCCTTGCATTGGCAACTTCAATCGAGCCTTGGTATGGACTTGCAGCTAGACGCCTTGCCTTTGCGCACTTGCTTTCCCGTATTTGGGCTTGTGGGGCTGCTTTGCTGCCTCTTTGAGTTTATTGAGCGCTCGAAAGTGCTGCGTTGAAGCCACTAGTTCTGGGCTGATTGACGAATTTCGCGGAGAGCTTCAGAGCTCTTGGCTATTACTGGGCGCCCAACAGCGAACGTGTCTAAGATCGAGAAATGATATGAGTATGTGTGACCCATCTTGGCTATGATGACGGTTCAAAAGGCGGGAAGCCCAGTGCTCGTCGTATGCGTATCTCGTGGCAGTCACTGTCCTTACGATCCGCCTTCACTTATCTGCTGTTTTGGACTCTCAATCTGCGCGAGCCTCAGCAATTCTTATGTATACAAGTTGTCCTTGACGTCGGCCCTTGAGCTCGTGTTAGTCGCCGCTTCCATCCGCAGATCGTCCTTGGAGATGCGGAGCAGAGTTCTAGCCACTGCCTCCTCTGATCCACCGGCTGGGAACGGCTAAAACATCGACTGTTGTGCTCTGTGGCTGCATACTATAGTTACCAGATTTTCAGTGATGCATGATTAGAGCTGTAAAATGGTCAGAGTTGGCGACCTTACAGCGTCCCCGCGATCTCTGACCCCGATTCAAATCCCAGTGCAGACGCGCAGGTCCAGACGTCTGTGATAATGTACCATGCGCGTCTTGTTACTGCCTAGCTGCCGCTCTATCACGCATCTTTGAACATCAAACTGCATTCAAACAGCTTGTCGAGTCGGTAAGTTAAGGTAGCCGGCACCCAAGGTTAGTTTCTGTGGCAGCGATCGCACTTGTTTGGGGTTTGTGTCCGCCCCAACGGTTGTCTTCCCCGACTTTTTCATGAGCCACTGGTCTCACAGCGTGCATTGTTCAACAAGCATTCATTTCTTGACAAGTGCAGTCTTTTAGTGTCCCTCTTTGCGAGGACTGCTTGTATTTAGTTCGTACAAGCAATTTTTTGATATCTTCTGTATGCACATCATCTCGCAGTTGTTCGATTATAAACCTTTATAAGTTGCCTTCATATGTAGCCTTTATATGTAGCCTTTATATGTAGCCTTTATCATAAAGCTTGAGCAGTATCAGAGTGCCTTTACGAGCTTGCTGGTTACAGTCTGATTGAAATCTTGCAGGGTCTATGTACCCGCTATAAGTGCGGCCCGCTTCGTCTCTTCGTTTGTACCGCCCTCCTTCTAGCTTGTAACCGCTTGTTTTCCGCTTTCCTAAAATTACTATCTTGCGAGATGCATCCTTTATGGAGGGTCGACTCCTAAAAGGTGCTTGGGACAACAGCTTGAAATTCAAGATTAGTCTCGGCGGGTACGGGTACCCCAGCGTTGAAAGGACGACAGTAAAAGGTTCTTGAATCGGAATGTTACTATGGTTGGTAGTCGGTGAACGTTGTGTTGAAGGGTTTGCAACGATCTGGGCCTCGCAGTCTGCGCTTACACATGCTGCAGTGCGTACCAAGCATGGCTTGACCTTTGATTCTCTACAAGTAATCTCACTTTTGACGTCCAGCCTCAACCGAGGAGCTATAGCAGGCACCGGTTGGGTCGCTGAGTGGCGTTTCACAATTCTGGGCGCTTGAGAGTTTTTCCTCAAAGAACATGTCTTCTGGCGAAACCACATTCTCGGGGGTTTTATATATGAATCATTTGTTGCGTCCGTGGCGATGATTGCGGGTCTGGCAAGGTTTAATGCCATGATTGCTCCTACCATAGATTGATATGTTGCCCGGACAAAAGCTTCTGCATCCAGAACTCTCATCCGACTCAATGCCATGGCCTGGTACTGCCAAAATCTTAATTCCGCCACATAGCAACCTCTGCCAGACATTTCTCGCATACCATAGCGTTTAAGCATCGAAGAGTGGGTATGCGCACAACTCCAGGCTAACGAACCGAAAGTGGCTTGAGGTTTGTTTGGAAGGATCCTCACTCTGGCACGCTGCGCGTTAAGCCAGCCATCGATTAAAGGTCCACGGCTTTAAACTCACACGAAATGTTTACCCCTGTCTCTCAGCCGCTTTGTCAGTATCCTTCGCTTGAGTCGCCCGTTTTGGTTGTCCTCAAGCATGGCAGGAAAGGCATTGAATCCTTAGCTAGGCGAATATCCTGCGGTCGCCAGACCCTATTATTTACCCCCTCTTCTAGCTGCTGCTCATGCAAAATGATCTGGAAACCTATGTCCGGCAGTGATACGAGCCGGCAATTGACTCTGAAGGGGTTATGACAACGTCCAGCTCTTGTGAGCCAGGCAGCGCAGCTGGGGTTGCAAAAAAGGAGACACACCAACGAACGCGTGTCTACGTTCTTCGTCCCCCGTCTTTCATCTCAAATCGTCTCTGTCACCCACGTCGCACTTGGTCTACGTCACCCTTCCGGTGTCACGAGTGCAGAAGCCAACGCCGTAATTGCTTACGATGGGACCGACATTCGGCTTAGGAAAACCGTGGTACTTCGCTTCGGTTTTGGCAGAGTGGGTTGTTGCAGCGTGGCTATGACAGGCACCTTTGTTAGCTCGCCATGCTCTTTTTGGCGACCACAGGGCGTTCGCTGACGCCAATCTCCTTCAGCGAGTTGATGATTGCGCCTGTGCAAAATTCGCTAGCAGTGGATCGTAAAACTCTCTTTTCTCCTTAATTCACGTGCATGACTTTGAATCCGCTGTTGCTTTCAATCGTTCAGGCTCACAGTCGTTTAGCCGCAATCAAAGGCTGATCATAACTGAGCTTGCGAAGGCGTCTTTCAATACGGCTGATGAATTTTTTTCGTCTTGAGAAAATTCCCGCCACGTCCTCTTTTGCTGCTCAGGCTTTCCGAAAACGACCGCAATGACTGATTCTCGCTTTGCAAGTTGGCAACGCTCGCTCCGTG